TTAAATAGGCTATCCTTACCCCATTGTAACTTCTTGCTTCCCTTGTCATATACTAACTGCCCGTATAAGCCTGGATTTACTTCTGGGCTTTCTATTCTCGAACAGAGATTTTAAACCAAACCTTTCAACTTGCATGTTGCAAACCGTGTGCCCATGTGGCGCCCCCTGCCTGCAGGACCTGCACAGGCACCGCTGATGGGTTAGGAGTCTGTCCCCCGACTTCAGCCACTTCAAGGGGCTCTCGTTAAACAAGGGGTGGCCACCCTGTTGACATTCATTTGCCCATTCCCAGGAGTCGAGCTACAGAGGCTCCACGCTCAGACCTTGTCCCCATCCTCTGCTCTGACCGCCCAAAAGAATGCCCACACAAGGGCCAGACACAAAAAGACAGATGCCGTGGGATCCGCTGACGGGAGGTCCCTGGAGGAGTTGGTTCAGAGACAGTAGACTGTAGGCGCCTGTGGCGGGGGATGGGGACGGGTCAGTGTTCAGAGGGGACAGAGGTCAGTTTGGGAAGCTGAGAGGGTCTGGAGGTGATGGGGTGATGGCCTCACGGCAGTGTGAGTATACCAGAGGCCACTGAGCCATGTGCTCGAATGTGGCGAAAGTGTAACTGCACGGATGCGTCTTTTCCACAATTGAAACAAAAGCTGGGGTTGCCCCACATCTGACGAAAGGGTGGGAGTATTTGTCATTGTCCCTTTGCTCCCTGCTGACTTGGGAGATGGGGTCTGTGGGTTGGCAGGCGGCGTGGCCACCGTCCGGAACACACTACAGCATGGACTTGTCGCCGTGGGTACCGCCCGCACTGCCTGGGCCTGGAGCTATGCAGGAGTCCCTGGCAGCAGGTGACAGTGGGCGCAGGGAGGTCGCCATGAGGTTGAGGAGGCGGAGCAGTGGGGCTCATGGCACCCACAGGGGAGGGCAGACGCATGTGCGGGCCCTGCCTGCTTTATCCCTGAGCTCAGGTGCTGACACCCCCTTGGCCCGCAGGTGACCTACGGCTCCTTCGACTACACCTCGCTGCTATACCTGTCTGACTATCTGGACGACTTTGGCGGCGGGCGCTTCGTGTTTATGGAAGAGGGTGCCAACAAGACGGTGGAGCCCAGAGCCGGTAGGACGCGCACGGTTTCCAGGGAGGGTGATACGTTCATGGAGTGCTCCTGTGTGTCGGCCACCCAGCATTTGCTTGGACCCAGCCGCTGGCCCGAGACACCCAGGGACCCACTGGTCAGAGAGTGAGGTGGGCGTGTCCTCGGCCACGGCTCCGGGTGTGCGGCTGGCCCCCCTGCACTGCGCTCCTGCCCTGTCCCCTAGAGAGACTGGGCAGCTTAAGGTGACATAATGCTCCTGACCTGACAATGCTGGTGATGGCACTGAGCCCGGGACCAGCTTCTCGGGGCCTGGTGGTCCTGGGTCCCTGCTGCGCCCAGCCCAGCACAATCACTCACCCTGCCCAGAGCGTATGAAGCAGGTGAACCACCCGCTCCCTCTGGAACCTGTGGGGACGCGAGCCCTGTTGGGGCAGGTACGGCGGGGCTCTGGGACCTCCCAGGAGCATTAAGCCCAAGAAACACTTGAGTAGAAGCTTGTGTTTCGTGGAAGGTTCACATAAGCGCAGTTATGTGCTGCCTGCTGTGGCCCCAGAGGACAGACACTCCCGTCTCGCAGAGCTGGGCACCGAGGCCGGACCATCCTGCAGGGGGCGGACAGCCCAGGCGATGCCCCCAGGGGCCTTTGTTTCAAGTTGATGTTTTGTGGGTTCCAACAATTCAATGGACCAGAGAAGCTTCCGGTGCTGAGGCCTGATGTCCTATGTCATATGCTTTCAGGAGGCTCCCAGGGACCCTTATTGTCAAGACATGTAGGGTTCCAAAACAGAGACATTTTCAGTTTTGGTTATTCGGCGGCCAAGCAAAATTCTACATTAAGGACGCAGTGATCTCCTAACAGTTATTACTGAACAAAGTGCAGAGCCAGGAGGCACATTTCTCTGAATATGACGTGGGTGGGAGCTCATTAACTGAGCGCAGGCAGTGTATGTTTTCCAGGCCTGTGTGCCCTTTACCCTGTCACGCGAGTCACCAGTGCTGGCTGGCTGCTGGGGGTGGGCCCCAGGAGGGCACAGGGCTTGCGGGGAGGCCACAGGGCTCACAGGCGCCCTCATGGCCGAGTCACCACCCTCCACAGTGAGCCCGGTGCCCCTGTGACCTCGTGCTGTCTCCTCCATCAGCACTGCCTGCAGCAGTGGCTGTCTCCATCTACTTGGCTTGTGATTTGTCATACACGCGGCTTGTCCCTCTCCTGTCCTAGGCCGGGTGTCCTTCTTCACCTCGGGGTCCGAGAACCTGCACCGTGTGGAGAAGGTCCACTGGGGCACACGCTACGCCGTCACCATTGCCTTCTCTTGCAACCCCGACCACGGCATCGCAGACCCAGCCTTCACGTAGCCGAGCTGCAGGCCCCTCCCTCCGGCCTGCCCCGTTGAACAAGGTGCCTTAGGAATCACCCGGATTTCGATTTGCTAATGTTTCAGTCGTTTTTCACCTGTGAGTAAATTAAGGGAACCAGCTTTTCACCTCCCAGGCACCTGTGTGTTTGCTCGGGGGTGCTGTTGACATGGGGCCGGAAGATGGCGGCAGCCCACACTCAGGAAGCAGTCTCGATCGCGACTCCTGTGGAGACAGTTCCAGTGAGCGGGCAGCTCTGGGGGGCTGACTGGGGGCCAGGGACCTCAGACGCCAGTGATGGGCGTCCCTTCTGAGGACGTGGCGTCTTCCAGAAAACTAGCCACACTCAGCACCTGGCAGGTGCCCAGGCAGCCCCCCAAACTGAGTGTGTAATCGGGGGACAGAGCAGTGACACAGCTGAAACAGAATAGCAGATTGAGGCCAGGAAACTAAACATCAGGTAAACTGCAGGCCCAGCCCTAGCAGCCCTGGCGAGACAGAGCTTTGTCACTTGCTCGTCCAACCCTATCTCGGGGTCTTCACACCATCGCTAGACTTTCTTACCTTGATGTAGGGCCCACTGCCTGCCCTGAACTCACTTTGTGTGTCCCTCAACCGTCCCTAGGAAGGGGCCCTGCTGCCTCAGAGAGTCCCTAGGACTGTTCCCCAGCGGGCCTGCCTGCACCTCCCCTGCAAGCCAGCAGATGTGCCCCACAGAGTGCAGGGGAGGGTCTGTAGCCAGGTGACCCAGGCTGGTGACAGCTCTGTCCCCAGCAGGTCTCGAGCCCCCCCCCCCACATTGCTTTCATCTCAGCACCTTTGAGTCCAAGCAGATCCCAATGTGGCTGGGGGTGTGGGGTTCCCCCATTCCTGAGAATGCCAGTGGGGGCCCTGGGAGGGCTGCATAGGGTGCCTCTCCCAGCTTGCAGCATGGGGGTCATGACTACCACCCTCATCCCCTTGGACATGCCAGGCAGGGTCTTGGGATCTTGCTGTGGTCACACAGCTGGACTGGTGCCCAGCTTGAGCTCCCTGCCCCCACCGGCTGTCCTGGGTTGTCCAGCCCCTCGATAAAGAACAGACAGCTAGGGAGGGGGCTCAGGATGGCCCGATTCCTGGAAAACTCCAGGAGCAGAAAGGAGGAGGGGAGGGCAGGAGGGTGGCCCCCGTCCAAGGGTCTCCAGGGTCTCAACACGCCCAGGGTGACTTCCTGGACCCAGAGTTCATCCCTGGGAGAAAGTGGGCCACATGTTTGCGCCTGCTGCCCTCCTCACCCACCCCGCACAGCTGAGACCCCCCCTTACCTGTGGGGGCTGCAGGGATGAGGGGGACAGACATGAGGTGGGGGCGGCACCGTGGGCCGTCTGCTGTGCACCAGTCTCCATGAGGCCAAGGCGGGGAAGGGGTGGGGGCGGCTCAGACCAGCCTGTGCAGGGGCTTTGACACCCCCCCAGATCGGAGCACCCTGAGACCCCCGCCGACACCCCGATCCTGCTGTCAGTCCAGCCCTCCTCCCATCCTCATCCTGCGCCTTCAGCCCCTCCCTCACTCCTAAAGTCACCCACCCCAGGAGCCACCTCCCAGCCATGTCTTAGGACTGGCACACAGTGGGGCACATTTTTTCCATCTCAGCTCTGCCTGGCAGCCACGCCCAGAGGGGTGGTGAGGGGGAGGGTGGGGGAGGGGACGGTATGGAGGAGCAGGGAGGATATGGGGTTTGGGGAAGCCAAGGGCAGAAACAGAGGCCTCCTTCCCTCCCTGTCAGGCCCCGACTGGGCCCCAGGGAGGACTTGGCCCGGGTCAGCGGCCAGCACAGAGGGGCCACACCCTGATATTGTCTGCATTTCACACTGACACATAGTTTTGGGGTGAGACACAGGCTCTGGACTTTCAATCATGCTGCAGGCGCCTAGCCACCAAGAGCGAGGGCAGCAGGACCCGCTGGGCTGAGGAGGTGTTCCCCACCCGACCTCCTCTGCAGGTGCCCTGTGGCCCGGGCAACCTCTCCTGGCCCCGCCCCTCAGCTCTGAAACAGGAATACGAACTTAGTGAAAGATGACCCAGTGTCGTGCCTGCCGAGGGGGCCGCCTTGGGGACCAGGAAATAAGAAAACATGCACCTGGAGGGAGGGACCTGAGCCCTGGACCAGAGTCCCCAGGCTCTGACCCCACTTACCACCCTGCCCACTGGGCCACAGCTCCAGAAGGGGAAGGTGGCAGGACAGAATGGTCCAGCCTGCGGGCCTGCCCTGGGCAGCTGTGGAGCTGCCTGGTCCCAGGAGCACTGGCCGCCGTCCCTGGCATGGGGCTGGGCACTTGGCCAGTCTGGAAAAGGCTGGCGTCTGGCGCTCCTGGCTGTCGGCTGTTGGCAGCCTGGCTTCCTGCTTGGAGCATCATCTGTCTGGAATTCCAATGGAAAAACCTGCCTCTGTGCTCGGCCTGGGGTTCCTGGAATCCCGGATTGGTAGTTTGTAGGCACACAGGGCTCTGGCCACCCACCTCCCCCACACAGGAACGGGGACTCCTACCTCCTACTGCTGGCTGAGCTCGCCTCTTTTTCACGCCTGGTGGGGGTGTGAGGAAGGTGCCTGACAGCTTGGGGTACGCACCTGGGGGATTTCTCAGGATGGGGGAGACCCAGCATCCTGCCCTCTACAGCCCGCCCTCCAGGTGACCTGGGTCAGGGTTGCCTGTCCACTGGGTGAGCACAGCTGTGGACAGGTAAGAGTTCAGGTCTCTGCACACTAGCTCAGGCCACCCTCCCAGGCAGAGCCGCATCTCCACCCACAAGCGGTGTCACAGTGGTCACCCACCTCCACCCCCCACAAGAGCTGCATGTGCTAAGGACAGCCTCCAGTGGCAGAGCTCCCAGGCTGGAAACTCCCATCTGCTGGTTGTGGGAGCAGCTCACGTCCCAAAGAATGAGTTCCTGGAAAGAGTCCAAGTATAGGGAACTCTGGGGTGTGTCTTTCTTTGTTGATACATAATTGACACAAAGGGCAGTGGCCCTGGGTGTGCAGCCTGGTGACATACTCCAGCATCCTCAGGCAGAAAGCTAGGTTCTGCTGCCCTCCCTGCTGGGGACTCACGGACTTACACAGGCTCCTGGCTGGGCTAGGCCACCTCCACTGCCCTGCAGTGGTCAGCAGCGAAACCCAGTGAGACTGACCGGCCTGCGGGGCAGGAATGTGCCTGCAACTGCTAAAACTGTCACCAGCCACCAGGCTCCCACCCTGGACACCTGCCCACCCGCCTCCATGGAGGCAAACCTTGGGCTTGGCTGTCAATCCCTGGGCTCTTCCCCACCTTCCACCTCTGCCACCTCCAGGACGACAGAAGACGAAATAGGAAAGGGCAGTGGGTCCCTAGCTAAGGGGCACAGTCCGTCTGTTCATTCATTCGTTCATTCATTCGTTCATTCCCTGCCAGTGTGGGGCCCTCCACTGTCCTGTTCACAGGGGCCCACAGCCTGCCCCAACACCACCCAGCTCCGATTTTGCTCTGGCTGCTGAGCTGGGGAAGGGGTGAGGGATGGGGATGGGAACAAGGGCTGGGGCACGGGAAAGGACCCAGGCCTGGCACTCAGCCCCTCTCCCGATGCAGCTGGGCACCCAGTCCCGGCCAGTCCCTGTCCCGCTGTCTCTGCTGCCCACCGTCTTCCAGGGGAGCTCCCTGACCCCATGCAGCAGGGGCCTGTCCCCATAACCCAGCTTCAAGGCAGTCATGAACCAAAGTCCAAATTTATGAAACACTCAGTGGAGTACGGTCAGCATCTCAGGGATTTATGTCCTGGTGCTTCCAGCAGCCGCAGCTGTGGCAAAGGCGCCGTGGGCGCCCGGCCCGCCATCCTGTCGCCTCTTTGGATCCCTGCCCTTGTGACATGGGACAATATTATTTTCAAGCATCTCTGTGAAGCTTTCATGAACACGTGCACACACACCAGAGTCACACATGCATTCACTCACACACACACACACACACACACACACACACACGTTTTAAATAACACTTGGGATGACATTATAGTTTTGCATTGTTTTCCCCCATTTACCAATATGCTTAGATCTATCCCACTAACAGCCCTTCACAGTGAAGCCATTGTTATTCTCAGAACAAAGTCCGCTGCATCACATGACTCACACGTTATCTAACATTCCATGGTGTCTTCTGCTTTTAAAGCTGAAAGGAGCATCTCTGTACATAAATCCATCCACATTGGACAAAATCCTGCAAGTGGGGGTGCTGGTCCAGATCACAACGTCGACTTGCCTCTGGGTGGGAGAGGCCAGCTTTGTGCCTGAGGGTGTCACTTGTGTCTTCCGCATTGGAATTTTATTTATTTTTTATTTTTTATTTTTTTTTTAAGATTTTTATTGGTGAATTGGGGGGATGGGAACAGTGCTGGAGAATTGGGGGAAGGGGGACAGACAAGTTGCTGTCATTTTGTTCTTCAGTCTAGTTGTGGAGGATGTTGCTTCACTGGCCCAAGTTGGCACCATCATTGCGCTCTTCCCGGGTGAGGCACATCAGTCGCCGGCTTCTGGACGGCCGCTCACTGCGGCTGCTGGCCGCTCACGCTGGCTGCTGGCTACACACGGTAGCCCATGGGAACCCACTGCCACAGGGGCTGCAGCCCACGCCGTCGCCAGCGACTCACAGCAGCCCAGCTCCAGGTTGAGCTGTTGTTCAGCATCTTAGCTGTGGAGGGCAGTGTCACTGGCCCTCATATGTGGGATCCGAACCGGGGCCCTCTGGCATCCCAAGCGAGTTCTTAACCATCACGCCACTCGGCCGGCCCACCGCATTGGAATTTTAAATGGCTTATGTCACCGAATGGATCTCGGTCTCCTCCTTGAGGGATCTGGGTTCCAGGCTGTTTTAGAGCCTTCCCATGCCTTATGTTAGAAATACATTCGCTGTGCTTTCTTTTCACTCTTGTGATTTTATGACTTGCCTTTTTCGTATAAAATTCCACCTGCATTTCACTCTGCTTAGAGACCCCCCTGGAGGAGGGCCCCTCCATCCGGCCCAGACACCTGGTTCTGTTGCCCAGCGGGCTTGTTCCTGAGCCCGGGCCTCAGGGGACGTTTGACCCCCTCAGAGAAGCCATGCTAGCGCCTCTTCCTGACTGTGGTCACCACTGTTTTTCTAGGTCAGGGGTCAGCAAACTTTTGAGACGGAAGAGCTGCCAGGGGTTGGCAAACTACAGCTCGCGAGCCACATGCGGCTCTTTGGGTGCGTACACGTGGCTCTGAAGTAAAATTGAAAATGAAAATAAAACTATCATAGTTTCACTTATACAATTTTTAGAGGATATTCACATAATGGTGATTACATAAAAATATATTAATGGCTTTCGAATAATTTTTAAATTGCTGTGAGGGACAGGATTGGCTCTTCCAGGGGTCGGCAAACCTTTGAGACGGAACGTATTCAAAGTGCCGCATGTGGCTCGTGAGTCGCAGTTTGCCAACCCCTGTTCTAGGTGAACAGCATTTTATCCATTCTCTTCCCGGACCCTGTGGCCCCAGAGCACAGGCACTTCAAGAGAGCAGAGGGCTGGATAAAGACCCGCCTCCAAGGTGGGAGGGGTCAGCACAGCCCAAGGAAACCTGTCCTGGAAGCTTCTAGAGACCCAGGAGCCAAAAGCAGCCCATGATGGACGGCGTGTGGGTCCTGGGGCAGTGGTCAGGTGGCTGAAGCCAGGGCCATAGCACCTCACCCACTGGATGTGGGGCTGCCCGTGAGCTGAGCATGGCCTCCGGGTTTTGCTTCTCCATCGGCAGGACGTGGTGTTGGTGGACGACATCTAAATACCGAGAAACCTCATCCATCACCCTGGTCTCCCTCTGCCTCCATCCATCAGACAGCAGATGGCCCTCCCGTCTCTGCTGCTGCCCCACTGCCCTGGAGGCCGGGGCTGGGCCCAGACAGAAGGTCCTCTCAGCTCACGGCACCCAGTGCTGCGGCTGCCCCTCCCCGCCCCTCGCCTCCGTCTCCACACACCCACGCTGGCCCCTCTGCCCAGGAAGGGAGTCACCCTAGGTGAGGCTCCAGGCTTGTGGGAAGAGGAGGACCTGGTCAGTGCCGTCCCAGGGACAGGGAGATGGGGGTTCAGTGCCTTCTCAGCCTCGGAGGCCTGTGCCTGCCTGGTCAGGGCTCTTCAAGGACACATTTCCCACAGGAAGGCAGGGAGGGGGCCATCTCAGGGCCAGGGGCCCAGTGCTTCCGTCCCGGCAGTGCCTTCCTGGCACCAACCTCAGCCAGTCTGAGCAAGGCCCACAGTCCCCAGCCTCGTAGACATGTGACTGAGACGGTCACTGTCACAGAGTTTACCCAGAACAGCTGCTCTTTTATTATAAAGTGGTGCATGCCCAGGGGCGGTGGCGGGCAGCCCCAGCAGTCTGCAGTGCATAGACACCACCCTCCCACCGAAGGGGCTCCCAGACACGTCCACACGGACACACGTGCTCACAGCAGCGCCATCCATATCAGGGTAGAGGTGGGAGCAGCTCAGATGCCCATAACCCACAGATGTGGTCACAGGAAAGTGTCCACCTATGAAAAGGAACCACGAGCTGGCCCACGCCGCCACGTGGACCGACATCCAGTCAGCTGACTTCAAGCAAAGCAGGCAGTTCTTTGTCACGTGGTGAGTGGCCTCATGCACTCAGCTCAGGGGCTTAAGAGAAAGCCAGGATCCCCAGGTGCCTCAGTAAAGCTGCAACTGTCTGCCGCGCCGAGTCGGAGCTGTTTGTGTCAGAGCTCAGTTCGTCCACCCGGGGCCCACTGCCGTCCAGCCTGCCCTGGTCCGGCCCCCTGCAGCTCCGACTCCTGCCAACTCAGACCTGTCTTCCTCCTGCCCCAGCCCCTCGGCAGCCTCAGAGCCCCAGGGACAGAGCAGGGCTCTGCTGGGGGCAGGACCCAGCCTGGCTGCCGTGGGGAGGGAGTCTGGTGAGGACAGAGGGCGGGGCACTGTGCCTGACGGGCCAAACACTGTGGGTCTTGAGCGAGCCTGGGCCTCCACAGGTGGCTTTCTGGCCTTGACTGAGTGGCCTTGGGTGTGTTTGGGGGGGAAGGGGAGGCGGCTGTCGGCGGTGGTACCTGTGGGAACGTCCACATGGCTGTGGGTGTGAGTGTACAGAGTGTATACTGCCCCTGGGACAGTGCATTGGGGCGGAACCCACCAGGTTAGGGAGGGAACTCGGGAAGATGCTGGCACCATCCAGGCTAAGACGGGGGAGGAGAGGGGAGGGAAGTGAGTGCAGCCCCCGCCGCCGCCCCTCACAGGCTGGATGCCCTGCCTGTCCCTCCAGCTCCCACAGGTTCCCTCTGCCTGCTGCCCCTCATTCCCCCAGGCAGGCAGGGCTGGCTGGAGTGGGCTCTCGGTGGGCCTCAGTGTTCCCAGGAGGCACCAGAGGAACCCACAGGCCTGGGGAGGGAGAAGCGGGTGAGTGGCAAATGGGGGGCCCCCCTGGTTTCATTGTGGGCGCTGTGCCCCTGCCCTGGAGTGACCCCCTGCTGCTCCCTCTTCCCTGAGCAAGTTGGGGTGGTTGCTCCCTGCCTCACCTGAGGTCTCAGGCCAGACAGGACTTGCCCACCGTGTCAGGACGGTCAGACCAGCCACCAGCAAAGGCCTCAAAGGGAGACGTGCACCCTCCCCAGCCAGACTGACAGGCTCCTCCAAGAGCTGTGAGCAGACATCCTGGGAGGTCCTCCTGGGCCCAGAAGGATGTGGGTCCCCCCTCGCCACCCCGTCCCCACAGCTGAGGCAGGACAGGGATTGGAGCTCAGAGTTTATTGTGACAGAGCCGGGAGGAATGGAGTGGGTGCCACAGAGGCCACGCACCGGCCAAGAGAGGGTACCGCGCAGGTGCGTGTGTCCTCCACGAGGCAGGGTGGGCGCTGGCCGGGTGCTCATGTCCAGTGCTCTGGGTGGTGAAGGCTCGACTCGCCGTGCTGGCTGCGCGCCTGAGCCTCCTGTCGACCCTCACAGATGGGCTGGGGGGCTTCTGAGCATATGAGGAATGTGCTCGGCTGACCGAGCTGAAATGAGCCATGGGGGAGGGAGAGCTGGGAACTTTCTGGAAGAGGACAGAGGAAGGGAGCTGGGAGGGGCTCCAGGGAGTGACCTAGACTCTGGGGCCCCTCCCCGCAGAACTCGGGCCACTCCCAGCCCACCCCAGCGTCCACCTGGGGACAGGACACTCAGGCGCAGGCTGCCCCAGGGGCCTCCTGGGACAGGCGGATGGGCTCAGACGTCTGCTGGCTGCCAGAGGACAGTGATGGGCCAGAGTGGTGCTGGAAGCGGGCGTGGCACCGCGGAAGGGCTGGGACACCAGCGCGCAGGCGCTGGCGCTGGCGCTGGCGCTGGCGGTACTCGCGGAAGTTCCTGGTGAGCAGCGTGTACAGGAAGGGGTTGACGCAGGAGTTGCCATAGGTGAGGCAGGTGGTCACGTAGTTGACGATGCGCGCGGTGCGGGGTGTGAGCGGCTGGGCCCCGCGGTACTGGGCCAGCAGCTGCCACAGCCAGAAGGGCAGAAAGCAGGCCCAGAACAGCAGCACGACCGTCAGGATGAGGTAGAACACGCGGGGGTTGGGCAGCCGCCGCGTCTGCGGGAAGGAGGCCCGCTGGGCCAGCCAGTAGGCCCGTGCCAGGCGCAGGTACAGCAGCCCGATGACCACGCCAGGCCCCACGATGCTGGTGCCGAACAGCAGCACCAGGTAGGCGCGGTGGGCGCCCGGGCCCCAGGCTGGAAGGCACAGGTGCTTGGGGCCCCTGCGCACCAGCCGGACAGCCAGCATCATAGGCAGCGCCAGCAGCAGCGCCAGCAGCCATGTGCCCAGCGCCAGCAGCTTACGGTAGCCCTTTGAGCGCTGAACTGTGTCCAGCGGCCGGCGCACAGCGGCGTAGCGCTCGCTGCTCATGACGGTCAGGGTAAAGATGCTGGCGTGCATGGTCAGGAAGTCCAGGCTGAAAAGGACGCGGCAGCCCACGTCGCCAAAGTGCCACTCCCTGGTGATGTAGGTGGCCACGATGAAAGGGATGCTGAGCAGGTACAGCAGGTCGGCCAGGGCCAGGCTGACAACGTACACGTGCATGGAGGCCGAGGCACGCAGGAAGCGGCACACGACCACCAGTGTGTACACGTTGCCCGCCACGCCCACTACGCCCATAGCCAAGAGCACCGCCCCGATGGTACCCGTGGCCACCAGGTCCTCCAGAGAGCTGGACTCCGTCGGGCTGGCCCACGAGCTGTTGAGGGAGACGTTGGGGCTACCAGGTGGCTCGGGCACTGGGCTGTCCGTCGTAGCCAGCACAGGGACCCTGGTCACAGGCTCCGGGCTCAGGGCCATTTCTGCCACCTCACGCTGGGCTTGGGGCTGGGGCGTGCTGCATCTGTGGATGGGGCGGGGGCATCTGTGGGCAACAAGCTCGTCCTGCAGGAGAAGATGCCCATTAAAGCTACAGACCAGACCCCCTCCCACTCCCTTGAGGCCATGCAAAGGCACAGGTCCCACTGGGGGGCAGGTGGTGAGGGGGGGAGCTGCAGAGGGACGGGGCTCACCTAGGGGGCTCTCTGTTCAGAATTCTAGCACCCTGCCTCAATTCCCAGCTGTCCAGGAGGACCAGAGACCACCTGGGCCAGATGCCCCCAGTACACGCCCAGCAGCTCCCCCACCCCGGGCAGTACAAGTCCAAAAGCCTTTGAGGCTGACTGGGCTTTTCTGAAAACCAGAGCACAGAAGTGCAGCGCCTGGGGGTGGGGTCAGCAGTGGACAGAGCCAGGAGTCCTCCCCAGGCCTCCCTTTCTCATCTGTGAATGAGCAGGGGGCCTCGCTCACCCAGAACGCTTTCTCCCAATTTATGTCTCCTGTATGTTTTAAAAACATGCTCTGCTCAGATTGCAAAAGTAATATCTGCTGACTTTAAGAGTTCAAATAGGAAAATATGTGTGGAGAAGAGGGGAAAGCCCTGTAACTTCCATGTGCCCACACTGGGAAGATGAACTTTGATTCCCGCCTCCCAGGGCACACAAAAGTGATTTGGCGGGACTGTGGGCCTGCGGGCATGGGGCTGAGTAGTCGCCAGCCAAGTTGTGGAAGAAACAGGAGCAAATCTGCATGACCTCGAGTGGGCAAAGGCTTCTCGGAAAGGAACAGGAAGCACTTGCAATAAAAGATGAGACCACGCAAGTGGACTTCATCAAAATGAAGAAGTAAACGGAGGGAGGAAATATGTAAGCCGTTGGCTGGGAAAAGACGAGCAGAAGGCAGACATCAGACCAAGAACCGGTCACCAAAATATACGAAAAAACGACAAATCAGTAAACACTAACAACTCATTCCGGCGGAGGGGAGAGGAGATTTGAACAGGAACTTCTCAAAAGAGGCTATCCAAAGGCCAAACACCCACGAAACGGCGCTCACTGTCATTGGTCATGAAGGGGACGAAGATGGAAACCGCTGGCAGGCAGATGCCAAACGTTGGGGTTGGGGAGGTCCGGGCTCATTTCCTGCTGCTGGGAATGGGGACTGGCAGTCGCTCAGCACCACAATGGGGCACCTTCCCTTCCGTAAAGCGGAGCGCGGGCGTGCCTCTCTCCCAGGATTCCCCCTGTCGTTTGAACCCAACAGAAATGGGCACACATGTCCCCACAGAGACGAGAGCAAGAACGTCTGCAGCAGCTGTCTTCCTGGCTGCCAGGAGCTGAAAGTGGCCCAATGCCCATAAACAGGAACGTGGATGACCCAACTGTGACATCTCCATAAAAGTGCCCCCTAGCAAATAAGACCAGAAAATCGCTGCGTCCAACAGTGTGGACGCAACTGGCACACGCTGTGTTCTGCAAAAGAAACCACACGCTAGAGGACGCGCTGCGATTCCCTTTACAGCGGCCCTGCACGGCGGTGGCTGCCTGCGGGGTGTCAGCTGTGGGGCGCTGGGGAGCCCTCTGGGGGGTGGAGACGTGCTGTGTGCTGACCCGGGAGTGGACACGTGTGAAGCCTCACGGAGGTGCACACCTAGGCTTTGCGCTTACCGTCTGCAGATTCTCCTCATGAGAAAAGAAGACCTAAAACGTGGGAACACTTACACCAGAAGCCCCTGGATCGCCCCATCTCCCCCACATCCAAGGATAATGGGCTCCAGCCTTTTCCCTTCTGCTCGTCCTGTGCTGATAATAACGATAAACTCGGGACCGTCCCAGCCGGCGCGATCTGAGGACTCCGTGCGGAAGGGGACCGGGAAGGCCGGGGGTGCCGAGACGCCGCCCCAGGCCCCGGCCCGCGGGATGAGGCGCAGCCTCGGTTGGCGAGAGGACCGAACCCCTCCTACAGGCCGGAGGCCCCCTCCGGCTGCCGCCCGGGTTCCAGAGCCCTCCCTCACGGGGCTGCCGAGAAGCTGGGCTGCGCGGGCGCGGGGTCCCCCGCTTCTCGAGAGGCGGGCCTGTGCCTTGGGCGCAGCGGAGCGGCTGCTGGGGGCCGCGCTTCGAAGCCCCCGGAGCGACGCGAAGCCCGGCGGAGCCCGCGGCGCGCACCTGCGGCTCCACAGTGCCCCCTCGCCCCTCGCCGCAGCGCCGCGCGGCCTCCCCGAGCTCCGTCCAGGGCACCCCATACTCCAGCGCCCCGCGCGCTCACCTCGGTCACCGGGCAGCACGGCTGTCCTCCGGGTCCTCGCTGCCACGCGTCTCCAAACGCTCGGCGAGGGAGCTTGGGGCCCTTCCCCGAGCGCTCTTCCCCGGCCGGGTGCGCAGGGGGCGTGGGGGGGTCCCAGGGTCGGGCGACCGAGGGGAGCCCGCCCGCCAGTCTCGCCTGGTCCGCGCCCGGTCACAATCGCCGCCACCTGCCTGGCCGCCAGCTGGGAATGCGATGCGGCCGGGCGCCCGCGCCTGGATATTAATAACCCGGGGCGGGGGCGCCAGGGGGGGTGGAGGGACGCTGGCTCTTAGGGGAGACGACGCCGGCTGCGCTGGAGGGGCGCGCAGACTCGCCGGCAGACGGGCTCCTGGGCGCCCGGGCGGCGCCGGGACCTGGGCGAGAAGAAGGTGCCCGAGGGCTGTAGGTCGCAGGCGCCAGGGGCCTCTGAGCTCACCCTGGGTGAGACCCGGTGGCTGCGGAATGGGGTGTGGTCGCCTCCAGCCTCCCGGCCCCAGGCCGCTCCTCTCAGGTGTCTCCGCTACCCGCCTTTTGCCCCTCTGCACCCACATCCCCTAGTCATGCCCTGGACGCCCTGGCGCTTGGCGGGAGGTGGGGGAGGGAGGTCCTGGGGTGCGGGGAGGGGGAGATTTGGGGGAGGGGGAGAGACCCAGGCGCGCCTGGGTCCAGCGGCATTAATAAATTCCTAGTGTTGTGCAACCATCAATTTAACTGGAAGTTGCTTTTATTAAGAATATAAGAATGTAGATAGATGGCTTTTGCAGGGATTTGCCAAATTAATCAGGTAATTCAATCCTTTTCAAACTTCCGACAGACATCTCCCTGTACCAGCAATGTCTCCCCCTAGATGTTTGAGGAGCATCCAGAATGAATGTCTCCATCTGGGCTGCCTGTCCGCAGCCGGACCTGGACTGGGCAGGGCCTGCAGGAAAGCAGCGCAAACCTGCCTGCAGAACCAGACCACAGTGGAGCTCCTCAGGGAAGTGGTTCCCAAGTTTTGCTGCACATTAATATTTTCTGGGGAGCTTGGAAGAGCCTCAATGCCCACATCACAGCATGTGGCAGATACACCTAAGGTGACCCCCAGTTGGTCACACTCTCCGCATGACCGGGGCTGAAGCCTGTGACTTGCTTCCAACTAACAGAAGTGGTCACGGTGGTAGATGTCACTGCCTCAAAGAGGTACATTAAGTGCCAAAGCAGTGCCCCTCCTGCAATGAATGACATTACCCTAAATTTACACAAGACTCCTAGCTCGCTGTGGCCTTGAAGAGGGAAACAGCCATGCTATGAACTGTGGCAAGGAACCCTGGGTGGTCTCTGGGACCTCACCTTGCAACCAGTTGATGGCTAAAAGCCGAGGCCATCAGTCCTACACCCACAAGGAAATGGAGTCTGCAGCTGAGAGCACAGCCAGCCAACACCTGACTGCAGCTGTGTGTGATGGAGTAACGGACACAGCCAGGTGTGTCCCAACTCCTAACCCATGGAAGCTGCAAAAAGATAAATGTGTGTTGTTTTAAGCCATTAAGTTTGGTATTTTGTTACACAGCAACCGAAAACTAACATTCGTCCCAGAATGTTATATCAGAATTGTGACATGGGACCCCTGCATCAGTGTCTTTTAAACTCACCAGAGCTTCCAGTATGCTGTACCATTCAAGAACCCGTGCTTCACCCACTGGTGAGGTTGGAAGCTGTCACAGATACTGAGCCCCTTGATCCTTCCTCCCTCCTCCGATGACCCTGGTCTCAGGCTAATTGATACCCAAGCCAGTCTCCTCAGAGAACCCCAATAGCCATGGGTCACCCCATCCCACCACTGCGTGACTCAGACACCTCCCCATGACCTGCCACAGACCAGGAAGTGTGTAACTGGTCCTGCCTCATGTTCCTAACCCATCTGGCCGGTGGGGCAAACCTGCCCCGTTCCGAAGCCTCATCCCCACCAGCTCGGGACACACGAGCTCTCCCACTGGAGAAGGGTGAAGGACAAGAAGCCAAAGAGAGTGAGTGGACGAGCCTGGACAAGGCTGAGCGATCGGAAAAGGACCAGGACGATGGCCCTGCTCAACCTTAAGGGCCCTCACTGTCCCGAGGGCACAAACGCTGCCTACGACCCGAGAAAAGAGACGGCCGAAGCCCAGTGCTGTGCCCCTGCGTTTGCAGCCGTGGTTATCTCAGCCTCACACACAAGGCCCCGTGCAGCTCCCGCGGCTTAGAGAGCATTCCGGACATGTTTGTGGCATGGGCACATTCCAACCTCTTCGCTGGCTTGGTGACCTCGTCCTCAGGGTAGCCATCAGGCGTTCCCAGCCCGCTGCGTTCCCGGGCAGCCTCTGCATCCCCCGGACGGATGGCTCAGAGCCAACCTGGGTGAGTACCGCTCCCCAGCACAGGCTTTGCTGGCGTGTCCAGACAGCTTATCTAAGCGCAGCCAGTGGTGCCCAGATAAACCACCGAACCCTAGGAGCCTTCAGGCCCTCGCGGGGTGACGCTGGGGGCAGGTGACCCAGTGGAATGAAGCCCTAAAAGAAAGAAAAGTGTGTTTAGATAATCAAGTGACTCACCAAATAGAGCCTTCCTGAAAACTGCTGTAATAATCAAGGAAAGGATCAGTGTATGTTCTAATGAAGTCAGTGCTTGGAAGCTCACACAGGATGGACGTGATGGTCCTGGGAGTTCTGGAGTAGAGGACATTGGACGCCCTGTTTCCAATGTGCTCCCAGGTGGAGGCAGCCGTGTCTGAGGGCAGCGTCCTAGGGGTGCCTCCCGGCAGAGGGTGAACAGGGCTGGGTTGGTGGTGTGCACATGGAGGCAGTCACGTGGGGACACGGGGAAGACACGCTCCTCCCCTTGGGGGCGATGTTCACCCTGAGTCTGGCTCTTCTCTTGGATGCAGTAGCTGGGCCCAGGACCCTGCTGCCTGGAAGTAAAGGTGACAACAGCGTGGCTGGTGGACACGCACATAGCCATGTAAGGTCTGAGTGGACACGTGGGAGCTTCAGACACTCACAAGGTTTGACATAGAAGAACCTGAGGGAGATTCCAGGGCTTCTGGAGTCCCCCTAAAGGCTTTGTACCAGGGAAGACCCTGGAAGGTAGTTCCCAGCCCTGCTTGGCCCTGTGGGGACAGTGCTCACTCAGCTATTCCGTCCATTCACTGAGCACCAGCCCCTGGCTGGGCCTGGAAGTGTGGAGGGCCGGGCCAGGCCTGCCTGGAGGGTCCACTGTCTGGGAGGCCGACCCACAGGTGCTGGAGAGCCTCTTTCTTTGGTCTTTCCTTGCCCTCCTATAGAGGGGTGGGTTTTGGGTTACACCTGGGAAGGTCCGGAGGTCTCAACCCAACATGTCCAACAGCAGGGGGAGGCCTGTTTTGTAAACTATGGACATTGAGTGACAATGTGTCAGTCAGGTCGTTACAATCATACCATTCCAGTGCAGGCTGGAGAGTTGGGGGGGGGGGGAGGGCTGTGCACACCAGAAGCAAGGGCTGTGTGGGAACTCTCTGTTCCTTCCACTCCATTCTGTGTGAGACCAAAACTGCTTCAGAAGTAAAGTCTATTTTGAAAAAAGGGCTAATTTAGTGAGTCTCTATCTTGAAATGAAAAGGGGAGGCAATGTGCATGAAAAGTAAATAATTGGCAAATGATCGGTTTCCGAAATGCATAAAGAAACTTTTATTAAGCGACAACAAGAAGGAATCCACTTTAAGCCACAGAAGGACAAGACCTGTGACCAGTCAGGGGACCCAGCAAAGGGCAATGACCGCAGGACATAGGCTCACCTGCAGTTTCAGAAACCTGCAGAGGGGAACACAGTGGGGACCGGGTAAGAGGGCCAAGCGTGCCCTCCCTGGGGGAGCAAAGGGGGCTGCACGCGGCTTTCCTTGGAGGGAAGGGGATAACTCAGCAACTTCATGCCTGAATCTGCTGAGGCTCATGGGAGATATGCAGATGAGCCCAGAGCACCATGGGAAATGGCCCTTCATAGTCCCAGGTCGGGATGGGCGCCCTACGTTCTCTGGGACGCCCATGGGAGGGAGGCACCAGGCCGGGTGAGAACTCCTGGGGCTGAGCAGAAGGTCTGGGGGCACAGGCCTGCGCAGTGCATGCAGTATTGCGGGGTTAAAGCACTCGCCCAGGTGGTCAGTGTGGCCTGGAGCCGGGGTGACAGACAGCTCGGGTGGGGGATTCTGTGAGGTTCCCTCAGGGTCTGTCTCACGAGGCTGACAGGGTGTTGGGGTCCCTGAGGGGGGGGGTTGTGGTCTGGGGGCGAGGGCCCTGGAGCAGTTACACTGAGCAGGGGGCCGTCTTAAAAGACGGGGGTCTGAGGCCCGCCCCCCAGTGCCCCCCCAGGTCCATGTGCGGCCACGCCCACCCCGCCTGCTAGGGGGCGCCTGACCTCAAGTGCTCCTCCCTTGCAGGTCTCTGGAGAGCAGAGCCATCGCAGCAGCTGAAGGAGCTTCTCCAAGTTCACCCTTCCTGGCCTGCAGATCCCTGTTGCCTTGGGACCCGGTTCTTCCCTGCCCCTTGCCCCCGCCCGAGAAACCTTCCTGCCAGCTCCCTGCCCTCCAGCAGCCCTCTGTCCACCCACCTGTGGGCCAGGCCACCTGCAGTGCCCGGCAAGTCCTGCCTTTGCTGTCCACCGACAGGAGGCAGGCCGCGTGGCCATGTGTCCCCGGTCAGCGTGCGGCATGGCAGGGAGGGCATGTCCTACGTGCACGCGTCCTGGATGGACCGGCTGCAGCACGGGGACCAGCTGAGGATCTGCTTCAGTTGCTTCAAGGTTGCCTTTCGGAGCCTCAAGGCCTTGCTGGGGTCGGAAGACTGGGAGGACCAGCACTGGGACCCTGAGCTGATGCACCTCACCGAGGCGGGGCCTGAGCAGGGTGCGTCCTGACTCACCCCCCAGGTCAGCCTGCTCTGTGGGGGCCCGCAGACTGGGGGTGGGGCACCCTGGCATCCGCCCCAGGGGAGTCATCAGAAGAGGTGGACCTCGACCACGACTTAATGCCCACTGAGCTGGGCCCTCAGGACGCGACACCCCTGGGCCTGG